TGTAAAGTTCTGGAGCAGATAAACCTTATCAGTTGTGACAGAAATCAGATCAGTGATTGCCTGGGGTGGAAGCTGGGAGGAGGGCTGACTCAAAGGAGCATGATGGGACTGTTTGGGGCAATGGAAATGTCCTATAATATCTTGACTGATTGGTGTGGTGATTACACAGTGTATGTGAATGTCAAAAGTCATCTTCCATAACTTAAAATGTATGCATTTGATAGTAATTTTTCCTCAATAAAATTGATCATTTTTAAAAAATGAGAAGACTAGTGTATTAGGGTTCTCTAGAGAGACAGAACTAATAGGAGATATATATATATATATATATTTGTAGAATATATATATCCTATTAGTCATATATATATTATATATATGTGTGTGTGTAAAGGGGAATTTATTAAGTAGTATTAACTCACACAATTACAAGTCCCACAATAGGCTGTCTGCAAGCTGAGGTGAAAGGAAGCCAGTCCAAGTCCCAAAAACTGAAGAACTTGGAGTCCAATGTTCGAGGACAGGAAGCATCCAACATGGGAGAAAGATGTAGGCTGGGAGGCTAAGCCAATCTAGCCTTTTCACGTTTTTCTGCCTGCTTTATATCCTGGCCACACTGGCAGCTGATTAAATGGTGCCCACCAAGATTAAGAGTGGATCTGCCTTCCCCAGCCCACTGACTCAAATGTTAATCTCCTTTGGCAACACCCTCACAGACACACCCAGGATCAGTGCTTTGCATTCTTCAATCCAATCAAGTTGACACTCAGTATAACCTCAAGAACTAGCCATGATTTTTTCAGAGTCTACAATGCCCTAGGTATGCTACATGTGTTGTTTTATACTTAGTCCTCAAACCATCCAGTCAGCTATGTATTATCAATTCCATTTTACAGGTAGGAAATAAAGGATCAAAGACAGTCTTGTCCAATATCATAAAGCTAGTGAATATAGTCTGAATTCAAACCTATCTTTTTATTTGTAAAATGAGTATCATAATACCTGCTTTACTGAACTGTTACTAGGATTGCTAGAATTAAATAAAAATAAATAACTGCAAAGACTCCAAATTGAAATTACTTTAGAACCACCACCCAAAGAAGGTGGGTTGGAACTTGGAGCCTCAACCTAACCAACTCATGTTTCTACTAAATTAAAAATATCAACATTCTCCATAGGATTTAAACAGGACCCAGGGACTTGTAACATAATAGTCAGAATATTCAGGATCTAATTCACAATTATTCTGCTTATGAAAAACCATGCAAATCTCAATTCCCGTGAGAGTAACAACAAATACCAACAGTGAGATAACACAAATGTTAAAATTATCTGCAAATGATTTTAAGCAGCTATTACAAAAATACCTGTGTAAGCAATCATGAAAAATCCCAAGATAGAAATGATAATTGAAAGTATGACTCACATAAATAGAAGATATAAATAAAAACCAAATGGAAATTTTTAAACTGAAAAATAATATAATTATTTAATTACATTTTTAAATTTTAATGAAATTTAAAACTGTCTGCAAAGAATCAGTGGCAGGATGGAGATGAAAGAGGATTTAGTGAATTTGATAATTTCAGTAGAAATTATCCAATCTGAACAACAGAGAGAAAAATTATTGAAACAAAAAATGAACAAAACCTCAGGAATCTGAGGGCCAAAAAAGATCTAACACTTGAGTCATCAGAGTCCCAGAAAGAAAGGAAAAATAGTATTGTACTGAAAAATGTTTGAAGAAATAAACGTTTTCCAAGTATGGCAAAAGACAATCTCATAGGGAAAAAGTTTCATTAAGAAAATGTATTAAAAGGCCCTAGGGGGAGGGGTATAGTTAAAAAGATTACTAGAAACAGTTATCTAGACTCTGAGCATCAATGTTACTAACATCACAAAGAGAGACAGATATCATTTACTTTCTAATGGAAAATGAATATACCATCACCTGTGAAAGTCTGATTAAAAAAAATTGAAGCCTGACTTGATCAAGCCCATAAATTATCAATTTAACAGGAAATACAGAGAACTGATAAATATGTCAAATCTACCACCTGCATAAAATTATCAAAATCCAGCTATGAGGCTGGGTGCGGTGGCTCACGCCTCTAATCTCACCACTTTGAGAGGCCGAGGTGGGGGGGATCACCTCAGGTCAGGTGACCAGCCTGGCCAACATGGCAAAAACCCATCTCTACTAAAAATACAAAAATTAGCTGGGTGTGGTGGTGGGCACCTGTAATCCCAGCTACTTGGGAGGTTGAGGCAAGAGAATCACTTGAATCCAGGAGATGGAGGGTGCAGTGAGCCAAGATCATGCCACTGTACTCCAGCCTGGTGACAGAGTGAGACTCCATCTCAAAAAAA